AGAGTTGTGGGATGCTTTGGGTTTAGGGGTTCAGTGCTTGAGGGGTTTGTTGGCTCCAGCATGGCATATGGGGCAATATAGGTGCTTTCTTTAAGGGGCGTTCGGGTTGTACACTTTCAGCATTTTTCTTTTTGAGTGGGGTTTTGGCCTGCTCTTTCGGGTGTCCACAATCCGCTGGGAGGAGGGCAAAAGCCCCTTAGACACCCTGGCTGCATCATCACGGTTTTTGACTCTTTCAACTCGAACACTCCAGGCTGCTTTTAGGGTTTAATTGGGGTTCTCAACTCACGTTACGTCACGGACACGTCCATAGCTTCACGTTCAGAACTTCCTGGGTCTTCAAAAGGTTAGGGCTGATCGCGTCTGGCAATCAGATGACGATGAGTGCATTGAACCAGGCCGGCAAGACCCCAGAAGAGTCTCAGAATCGTAAATCTGCAATCTGAAGCATCTGGAGTCTTGAGCTTAGCGGCTTTATGGCAGATTCACGGGTCACTCGCATGTTTTGGGCTTGGGATCGTGCGAATCAAGGCGCCCCTTATGACCGTGAGCAGCAGTCCCCATGCCGGCCAGAGATCGGATGAGTGAAGCCTGCACTTTCTGGGAGCTTCTGCATACCCGCGCTTTTCGCCGAATGTTCCCACCACCTGCTATGAAATGCGCTACCAGAGTTTCACATGGTTATTTGGGCATACGTGCTAGGTCCAGGTCTGAGTTCGGAGGCACCATTACACTTCTGGGATCGAAATCAGCTTCTGCTGGAGGCGAAGTGGCCACTGGTACTCAGATATTCCCGAAGTTTGTCGGTTTGTCGAAGACTCTGCTGGTCTTGGGCTTCTGTTCCTGAAGATGTCGCATTGAAACAAACGAGCGGTCGCAGTTCCCGTGAAGTATTGGCACCCAATGCCTCAGAGACGATGGGGGCTGCACTGCATTACTGCCAGCGAAGTTTTCCTTCTAAGGCAACTTGGAACGGCTGCCAGAGACCAGGCACGAAACACGACCCGACAACAGAACCGAACGAGTTGAGATCTTCAGAAATTCAACCCCGAAATTGGGTCTTGAATCGCCGTGGTTCGGGCATCAACCTCCAGGATCCCTGGCGGCATGCCAAACACGAGGCCCCAAAAAAATCCAAACGAAACTAGGCAAGTCCAAACCAAAGGCCCTGAGCCCCGAGACCCCAAGAAAGCCAGGAGGCCGTGGACTCGGGGCAACCTTTGGGTTCCACCAGGAGCGCCGCTACGGCATCCTCATCTACACTTTGGTGAAGAGGCGAAGTTTCTTAAGGGTCCAAAATGCAGCATACACAAACCTGTGAAGGGTATTTTCCCTTTATGTTGGGGTGGGTTTCAGTGGATTGCTTTATGTGCTTTTGGGGTCCCTAGTCTCAAAACTACTCCCATGCTCAAACTGTTGTTGTCATCACAGCGACGACCGTTGAATGTGGGGGGTCATGATAACTTCCTGACCTTCTACAATCATGTGTATATTCGTGTGCAAGACTGGTGCGGTGCTGTACGGAGAAAAATAAAACATAGGGAAATCGAACAAACAAACAAACAACGAAGACAATAGGAACATTCAAACTTCAATCAACAGGGATCTCGCCTTGGCCAATCTACACCAAGTTTGGCGATGACTCTAGGACAGCGGACCTCTGGGCTGAAGAGGCCCGACTGACACTAGAGTCACTAGAGTAATAAACGTAAGAAGTGGGATACGCCTGACACTTGTACCATCCGCACTGCGGGGGCACCATCAAAACGACCGCTAAGTTGAGAGGAGCCCCATCAATTATTCAGCAGCCGGAACCCCTCATCTTAAGATACCCGCGTTGAAAGTCTCACCATACCGTAATACCGACCTGGCTCGTGATCTCAGCACGGAGCACAAACTGCCAAACAAGTACACCACAATATGCCAGAACAAACAAACCAAGCTAGTGATTGTCAGATAATTAACCCAAACAAAGCATTCTGCTTCGCAATAAAAGTATACCAATACTGTAAGAAAGGCGAGTATCGGCATGTTGTGCACCTGCACGTCCCAACAACATCAGGGACCTTGCTGCGCCGCATTCTGGCCTTGCGCACCAGCTGACAGGAACAGGGCGATAAAGGGTCAATGGAATCGCACAGAGCGCTAAAGAAAAGCCAGTCTCTCTTCCTAGGCAAGCTTGCGTGTGCCAGATCTCAGCTTCTTTGCTTTATCATGCTGTGTCTCTATGTGTAAGTCCTAGTTTGATTACACGGAAGTTTCTGTTCAGACCATGTCAAGCTCTTACAAAGTGTCCACAAGACTTAAACTCGCTGTGAATGCATCTTCCTATGCCAAACTATGATTTTGCACATGCTAGTCTGCAGAGCATCTTGACAGAGTGGCTTTATGTACGATGCATACAAAACGAGTATAAGCCTAGACACAGACATGCAAACACCCGTCTCTTCGGTCAGAGAAATAGTCGGGTCGGATTCGCACCTCCGCAGCTCGACGGGCATCCTCTTCCTCGGTTTGTAAGAGATGGGGGTTTCCGAAAATAGGGGACCCTAAATATAGTACCCCAAATAGTAGGATCCTTATTATAAGGACCCCAAAATAAGGTACCCTTATTTTCGGAAAGTCCCAGATCGCTGCCATCCGAAGCTGGCCCAAAGTCAGCCCGCTTTGTTTAAGATTTCGGTGTTCACGGTTTCGCCTCCCACTCTCGCACAAGCAGGCAAGGCTCCTTTTCACGATTTAGGGTTGTAGGGCCAGGGCTTTTAGGGCATTTGGCCTCGGCCCCTTCTGCCTCCAAGTTCGCGACGACGAGGCTCTTCGTTCGTCAGACCGTCAGACCCCAAATCCGGACAGGGCCCATTGCCATACTGGCACCCCTACTTGAATGCCACCTTACACATGGTAAGTATCAAATATTTAGAACTTATCCACCTGCCTGCCCCAGGCATTTTAAGTGCCATCTACGCGTAGGCGTAGTCTCGATCGGTACACCGGCCCGCGAAAGGCAGTGCATCGGATGCTGGTTATGCGAATCCCCAAGTAGACGCCCGCATTCATAAAGGCAGTGCAAGGCAGTGCAAATCATAGTTCTAGTCGGGGACGCGTGGGTCCGAACATATAGTTTTCAAGTCGATTTCACGGCGAAAACCTACCAATCCCCATGGGACGCCGTGCATGCACTGGTCCCCGAGGCATGGTCTGCGTGCGTGCTAACAACGGTAATCCCCATGTAGACGCTGTCCGGACACTTCTGAAGACATACACAATAAATCCTTTCCCGCTGTGCACCACGGAAACATTTTCAAGAATTGCAATTGTGGTGCCTTTGATGCAACCTCCTAAAGAATTCTCGAAGCCCCTGGTGTTTGGCTT